GCTTCCGACATATCGTCCACTTGGTCGGCGAGTTTCATGAATGATGCTGTGTAGTTTTGGACAAATGCCATTTGCGACCAAGCACGCAGCTTCATGCGAGCTTGCTCCAAGGCGAATATGTGCTCGAAGCGATCTCGTAAGGTTGCGCCCTGTCAGAATGTTATTATCTAGCATGTAGTGGGGTGCTCTATAGCGAGTACAACCCTGTTAGGGTTTGTGTGAAGAAATGAGGAATGAAGAAGAGAGGGGGTTCACTAGCAAACATTGGGATACATATAGTAAACCCTAAAAGGGTTGTACTCACTATAGAGTACCCCACTGCAGACTAGAGAAACATGATATTCTGACAGTTTGCTATATGTATCCCAACTGCTGCTAGTGAAACCTCCCTTTGTTCTTTTCTCTCTTGCCTAGCTAGCTAAACCCTAGCTATGGCTCCTCACTCTACCTACGATTCTCACATGCTATCAAAGCATCTATGCTCCTGGCCTGTGGGCCCACCTAACTGCTTCCGCTGCTACTCTGTCTGTTGCACGCCCCGTGGCGTGCGACTCCTCCTTCCTGCTGTGCGCTCGGGGCGCGCGGCGGTTTTCTGCCTGCCGTGCGCCCCGAGGCGCGCGGCGGTTTCCTTCCTTGGGGATCCGCGCGCGGCCCCCGCCCTGCTCGTCGCGGCGCCCTGGGGAGCACGCGCGGCCCCCGCCCTGCTCGTCGCGGCGCCCTGGGGAGCACGCGCGGCCCCCGCCCCTCACGTCGCGGCGCCCTGGGGAGCCGCGCGCGGCCCCTCGCTGCCCCGTGGTGGCGCCCTAGGGGCCGCGCGCCACCCCTGGAGCCGCGCGCGGCCCCTCGCTGCCCCGTGGTGGCGCCCTGGGGGCCGCGCGCCGTCCCCCTCGCCGTCCCCCGCGCTCCTACCCCGTGCCACCCGTTTTAGGGTTTAGGGGTGGGGAGTGTGGGGGTGACGGTTGTGGGGGTGCCGGTTGTGTGCACCGTCCCCTGTTTCTCCTCCTCCTCCTCCGTCTCCCGCTGCTGCAGCTGCTGCTCAGGGGGGTGGGTGTGTGGGAGCCAAAGGAGTGGTGCTAGGGGGGTGACGTGGGAGTGGAGTTAGGGGTTCAGCAGGGGGTGTGTGTCAAGGGTGTGGGTCAGTTGGAGGAGGTTGTGTGGAGGTAGCTGTCATGTCGCCTGCAGCGCCTGTAGTCCGTCGCCCTTGCTTCGGTAGCCAGTGAGCCTGTTGCACTAGTCGCCAGTGGGTCCGTTGCTCCTGCCGCTCGTCTATAGCCGCGGAGCCAGTCACTCCAGTAGTCCGTCGCCCTTGCCTCGGTAGCCACTGATTCAGCCGCTCCTGTGCCCGTGCCTCTGCAGCTTCAGTCGTTGCCTCCCATCTTTTCTCCGTCCACAGTACTCTCCTCCTCCTCACTTGCCCTCTGTGATAGCCTCTAGCTTTGCTTGCCATTGTGAACCTGCTTTATGACTGTGTGCTCTACTGATTACACCCCACTTTGGCTATGGGGGTGTGTCAGAATGTTATTATCTAGCCTATAGTGGGGTGCTCTATAGCGAGTACAACCCTGTTAGGGTTTGCTATATGTATCCCAACTGCTGCTAGTAAAACCTCCCTTTGTTCTTTTCTCTCTTGCCTAGCTAGCTAAACCCTAGCTATGGCTCCTCACTCTACCTACGATTCTCACACGCCCCACTCCTTCCACGTGCTTATCTTGGTCACTCCGAAGATTGGTTCTGCCATATGATTAGCCAATGTTGAGGTCACGTCTGCCACATGTGTCACACATGTCGGGGTCCCCGTGTCCAAGGTTCGGCGCTACGACTCAAGCGTTGTGCGTCGAAGAAGAGAGAGCGCGTAATTCATACGCGTGGCATTGTCGCTGACGTTCGCTGCAGTGAAGAAGGCTTAAACGCCGAAGAGCCACACCTTCACTGTAGTGTTCTTGTCCGTCGGAATGAATGGGGGCGGGCTCGCATGTTTAATCTTGATCGTCGTTACTGCAATTGGCGTCGCTGCTGCTCGCTACCAATCTTCTTCTTAGTCACGTGTGAGCGTATCTAACGGGTTGCTCATCGCTTGAATGTTGCCCCCGCCTTCTTCATCGAGCGACTCTTGACGCGCTTCACCTCGCGTCTGGTGTAGCTCGGTGTTTTCCGCACGTAATGCTGTCACTTATGCCGAGAGATTCTGCACTGTTGCCTCTCGCTCTTGCATTTGCACCAACATCTTGTTCAATGTTTCTTGGTCCATGAGTCGCACGCTTCGTCTGGTGGGCAGAGGGGTATCTGTGGTCTTCAGACAAGAAGAAAGCAAAAACTATCGGAGTCGGGCAGGTTAGAGTTAAGCAGCCAACTGTTTTGCAGTCCACTGTACCAGCCACACCCGTGCCACCAAATTACCTTCGAAAAGCGAGGTGAACTAGGAAAGTAGCTCTGATACCAGGTGTAATGAGTTGTAAAAGGGAGTGCGCAGGATAACGAATAACGAAGGTGTGACTTAATGAACTGACAATATAATGAAGGCACGCGACTATATAGTGGCTACCCTAGCTAGGAGGGAACCTCGAGAAATAAGGTTGGGTGCATGTTTGGCGATCGGAAAGCCGAAGACGACGCGAGGAGCCTCGGCATCGTAGATGTCGGCCGAACGTGCAAGTCCGAAAATCGGGGTTGTACACATAGCAGTCAAGCCCGATAAGGAATAATAAAAAAATCTTTACACTAAGCGTCTACCGCGTCCGGAATTTGAGTACTGCATGATGCGGACTGGACTCGACCACTTTAACACTGACAACATCGAACTCCACAATTGAAGGGGAGTGTTGGACGAAGAAATTTGACTTATGCAATTAAGCAGTTCGATAATATAAAACGACAAATAATAATGTCATCGCCTGGATATAAGACACATATGTCTTATCTCGTACACTAGAACAAAATGCTTGGGTTATCTTGTATTTGGGGAGGTTTTGGGTGTATTACAAGTCTTATAAATGGACAAAGAACCATTTAGAAGATACCCCCTTGTTATACAATTGCCCTTAACCCTCACACTGGCTCAACTTGTAGACACAATATTGTAGGTGTCTTATAATGAGGCTAGCATGTTTATAAGAGACACACGGATAATAGACAACCCCTGTCTACTATTCAACACTGTCTACTATGACAGTATCATTGTACGGTATTGCTATATGAGTACATGTTACTGTAGCAAGTGTCCCTTCGCGTGAGTTACAGGTAGTAGTGCTAACAGTCTCGCAATTGTTCGCATGACACGGGATAATACCGATTCATAGAGTCGACAGTCGACTCGATATTTAGCCCACTTCATGAAAAAGTACATCGCTGAATTGTCAGAATGTGTTATTTGTCTAGTCTGCAGTGGGGTACTCTATAGTGAGTACAGCCCAACTAGGGTTTGCTATATGTATCTCATTGCTTGCTAGTGAAAGCCCCTTCTTTTGCTGTTCTCATTCTTGCTTTCCTTTAGACAAGAACCTAGGCTTGGGTTTCTCCTAAGCCTAGGTATGTCTACTATTTCTGACATGCTATCAGAGCGTCTACGCTCCTGGCCTGTGGGCCCACCTGCTTCCGCTGTTGTACTCTGTGTCGCGCGCCCCGCGGCGCGCGACGTTTTTTCTTCCCGCCACGCGCTCCTGCCCTCCATGCGCTTGGGGCGCGTGGTGGTTTCCTACCCGCCGCGCACCTTGGGCGCGCGCGGCGGTTTCGTCGTCCGTCGCGGTGCCCCCAGGGACCCGTGCACGGCTCCCCGTCGCCCTTCGCGGCGTCCCCGTCGACCCGCGCGCCCCCCCTTCCGTCGTCCGTCGCGGCGCCCCCCGGGACCAACGCGCGGCTCCCCGTCGCCCTTCGCGGCGCCCCCGTCGACCCGCGCGCCGCCCCCGGGGACCTTCGCGGCCGCCCCCGTCGACCCGCGTGCCGCCCCCGGGGACCCGCACGCAGCCTCCCCCCCCCCCTTCTCCTTCGCCTCCCTGCTGCGCGTGCAGCCGTGGGGTGGCGGGTATGGGGGTGGCGGGTGTGTGAGCCGTACCCTGCTCCTCCTCCTCCTCCGTCTCCCACTGCTGCAGCTGCCGCTGAGGGGGGTGGATGTGTGGGAGTCGTGGGAGTGGCGCTAGGGGGGTGCCGTGGGATTGGAGCTAGGGGTGCATAGGGGGGTGTGTGAAAGGGGTGTGGGACAGTTGGGGGAGGTTGAACGGAGGTAGCCGCCGTGACGTCAGCAGCGCCAGTAGTCCGGGGGTCACCCTTGCTCCGGTAGCCCAGCGAGCCTGCTGCGCCAGTCGCCCGTGAGTCTGTTGCTCCAGCCGCTCGTTTTAGCCGCGGAGCCAGTGACTCCAGTAGTCCGGATACCCTTGCTTGTGCCCGGTAGCCCGTGAGCGCCGCTCTTGTTGCCCGTGTGTCTGCGGCTTCACCCGTCGCCTCCTATCTCCACTCCTCTTATAGTCCCTCCTCCCCCTCACTTGCCCTCTGTGACTGCCTCTAGTTTTGCTTGTGCTTGTGAACTTCTTACGTATGCGACTGCTTGCTGTGCTGATCATACCCCACTTTGCATTTAGGGATGTGTCAGAATGTGTTGTTTATCTAGCCTGCAGTGGGGTACTCTATAGTGAGTACGGCCCAATTAGGGTTTGCTATATATATCCCATTGCTTGCCAGTGAAAGCCCCTTTTGCTGTTCTCATTCTTGCTTTCCTCTAGACAAGAACCTAGGCTAGGGTTTCTCCTAAGCCTAGGTATGTCTACTATTTCTGACATGAATAGTTACTTTCCTAGACTATAAATCTTTGCCTGTTAGCATCATTAAGAAACAGTGAGACACCGAACGGGTAACAGGACCAGGGCTGTTGACGGGGCAGTGTCATTGGTCATTGGTCAGGCACTTGTGTGAGAAAGTTCTTCTTCACCTGCAGTCATGGGACCGAGCAGTGGGGAGAGCGATTCCGGCACACGGCAAGCAGCAAGCACGCAAGCACGCACAGCCATCCATTAGCCACAGGAGGGGGGTCCGTGGCACAGGAGGGGGGTCCGTGGCACAGGAGGGGGGTCCGTGGCACAGGAGGGGGGTCCGTGGCACAGGAGGGGGGTCCGTGGCACAGGAGGGGGGTCCGTGGCACAGGAGGGGGGTCCGTGGCACAGGAGGGGGGTCCGTGGCACAGGAGGGGGGTCCGTGGCACAGGAGGGGGGTCCGTGGCACAGGAGGGGGGTCCGTGGCACAGGAGGGGGGTCCGTGGCACAGGAGGGGGGTCCGTGGCACAGGAGGGGGGTCCGTGGCACAGGAGGGGGGTCCGTGGCACAGGAGGGGGGTCCGTGGCACAGGAGGGGGGTCCGTGGCACAGGAGGGGGGTCCGTGGCACAGGAGGGGGGTCCGTGGCACAGGAGGGGGGTCCGTGGCACAGGAGGGGGGTCCGTGGCACGGGCGGCTACGAGCATAAGCGGGACAGATGGGCGCATGAGTGCCGGACAAAAGCACTTCAACAGAACGTGGCTAGAGTGAATGCAGACTGCATGTGAGTGAGGAGTTTCGAGAGGATGTGACTAGAGTGAGCGTGAGCAGTGTGACAAGGAGCGCAGAGAATGTGTGGTGCATGGAGAGGAGGGCAGCGAATGTGTGGTGCATGGAGAGGAGGGCAGCGAATGTGTGGTGCATGGAGAGGAGGGCAGCGAATGTGTGGTGCATGGAGAGGAGGGCAGCGAATGTGTGGTGCATGGAGCGGAGGGCAGCGCGGGTGAGTGGAGGGCGGGGAGCACCTGCTCGAGCGTGAGGAACATGATGACATTCCAGGAGCCCAGGCGGCCGAAGTTGGGGATGAAGCCCTTGTAGAACGCCATCACGCCCTGGGGGGAGGGGGAGGGGGGGGAAGGGAGGAGGGGAGGGGAAGGGGGGGAGGGAGTTGTGAGGGGAGAGGGGAGAGGATGTGGCAAGAGAGTGCAGCATACCGTTGGCATTGGAGAGTGCTGCACGTGCTACAGCCTGCACGTGCTACAGCCTGCACGTGCTACAGCCTGCACGTGCTACAGCCTGCATGGACTTGTGCGGTTGAGACAGCTGGAGTCTCGCAGGCGCAGCTCCCCTGAGCCGGCGGACGCGCTGTGATCCATGCGGACGCGCTGTGATCCATGCGGACGCGCTGTGATCCATGCGGACGCGCTGTGATCCATGCGGACGCGCTGTGATCCATGCGGACGCGCTGTGATCCATGCGGATGCGCTATGATCCATGCGGACGCGCTGTGATCCATGCGGACGCGCTGTGATCCATGCGGACGCGCTGTGATCCATGCGGACGCGCTGTGATCCATGCGGACGCGCTGTGATCCATGCGGACGCGCTGTTATCCATGCGGACGCGCTGTTATCCATGCGGACGCGCTGTTATCCATGCGGACGCGCTGTTATCCATGCGGACGCGCTGTTATCCATACGGACGCGCTGTTATCCATGCGGACGCGCTGTTATCCATGCGGACGCGCTGTTATCCATGCGGACGCGCTGTTATCCATGCGGACGCGCTGTTATCCATGCGGACGCGCTGTTACCCATGCGGATCTCTTTGCTCACCACTCTGGTGCCTCTCAGCCTGCCTCCACTCTTGAGTGGCAGCCACGACCATGGACGCCCACAGCTCTACACATGTGCTTGAGAGAAGCTGTACAAGGACACAAGGTACGCCATCAGCTCCCAACACCCACGCGCGACCATGGCATGGGGCGGGCGGCAAGATATGCGGCAGGCAGGAGCAGCAAGCAGTTAGACAGCGAAGGCACCTAGGCAGGGCACTTCCCATGCAGCGTTGACACGTGCGCATGCCCCTTCCATCACGCCGCTCTGCTCCCAGCGCCCCTGGCTGGCGGACAGAGGCGCCAGGCAGCCCTTGGGCGCGCCCAGCCACCCTCGTACCACACGGCGTCACTGCCCCGCCCACACTGGGTGGTGGCACTGCTGCACGCTCACCTGGTGGCACTGCTGCACGCTCACCTGGTGGCACTGCTGCACGCTCACCTGGTGGCACTGCTGCACGCTCACCTGGTGCGCGCTCACCTGGTGCGCGCTTGTACTCAAGTTTCATGAGCACATGGATGGAGCAGTTGGATGAGGGAGAGATCATGGCAACCAGAGAAGCTGTACTGGGCAGCACGGGCGGCAGCACTGGAGCAAGGCAAGCGACACAACTCCCATGCACCCAATCGGACTAGATAGCTGAGAGAAGCAGGGGCAGCAGGTGTGAGGCACGCACGTCGTTGCGGAAGGTCTTGACGAAGCAGTCGAGGGTGCCCTTGTACTGCCCGCTGCTGTCGCCCATCACCCTCGACTTCACCTGCCCGCCCGGGAGAGACGGAGGGCGGCAGGACGGAGGGAGGCGGGGCAGTGGGGAGCGCAAAGGGTTGGGTGTGGGAGAGGGATGCGAACGGTTGAGAAGAGCAGCGGCCCCTGGCACTGCCACGTGCTCTCACCGTGCCTGCACCTGGTAGGCCGGCGGCACCAGAGGCAGGGTAGGGGTGGTAGAGAGCACGATGACAGGGGCGAAGAAGAGAGGCAAGAGTGCGCAGTGCAATGCATGGGCAACGCTGTGAGACGGAAAGCCGGGACTCGGGAGTTGGAAAATGAGGGGTAGGTGAAGGCAGGGGCGCGGAATGTGTGGGGGGGGGGGGGGAGGGGGTGAGGGTTTGTGGGGAAGGGGGTGGGTAGTGTGGTGAAAGGGGGGCGGAGCATAGGGAATGGGAGAGGAGAGAGGGGAAGGGGGAACGGAGGGGGAACGGGCGGCACGCACCACATCGACGGGCGAGCCAATGCAGACGGCGAAGAAGCCGGCGCCGAGCCCAGCGATGAGGTGCGTCCCCACGTTGTCCCCGAAGCCCGGCACCTTGAGCAGCGACTGGGGAGGGTATGGCAGGTGAGGGCAGGGCAAGAGGGGGGCGGCAGAGAGGGAGAGAGATGAGAAAGATTTTGAAGCAATCGGCGCACGTGAACAGCAGCGCAGCACACCTGTGAGCAGGGCAGCACTGCCTAGCCTACCTGCTTGATCTGCGCGCATCATGTGTTACGTACAATGCATGAGGCAGGACAGCACCTCCTCACCTGCTTGATCTGGTCGTAGCTGGCGAGCTCACCTGCTTGATCTGGTCGTAGCTGGCGAGCTCAGCGGCGTTGATGAGGGCGTTGCGTGCGATGTTGGGCCCCACACCCGTCCACAGCGCTGCCACGCCCTCCTGCCATGCCGTGCCACGTTAGCAGCAGTCACAGTCAACGTTGAAGGTTCATGATTGGCTTTCAATGTTGTGTGCTGAAGAGATCCGTGTCCTATAATGCCGCCAAGATACTGCCGTTCAGGTTAACTGGTTAAAATTGTTGAGATTCTGTGTTTCAGTTCAGGGTTGAAAAACAGGAAGACAAACAACAACTGTATGCTGAAAGAATGCAACGAGGGAAGAGTAGAGAAGGGACGATCTCGAGGGCCGCACATGCGGGGGAAGAGTGGAGACAGAATGAGGGATGCCCCCCCTTGCTCCCTCCAACACACCACCTCCCATCCCCCTCCACTCCTCCTGTCCCTCCCACACTCCACCTGGCATCCCTCCCACACTACACCTCTCCCACACTCCACCTGCCATCCCTGCAACACGCCACGTCGCATGTGTCCTAGGCGGGGTGGCAGCAGACCTGGCGGGCGATGGTGGCGTAGGCGTTGAGGGCGCCCGAGTAGCGCTTGGGCATGCCGGGCGGCAGGCGCCCCTCGGACTGCAGCCGCACCTTCACCAGATCCGTGGGGTTGGCGATCGCTATTCCCACCGCCCCTGTGCATGGCGCATGGGGCATGGTGCATCGTGCATGGGGCATGGTGCATCGTGCATGGGGCATGGTGCATCGTGCATGGGGCATGGTGCATCGTGCATGGGGCATGGTGCATGGGGCATGGCGTATGGTGCATGGGGCATGGTGCATGGGGCATGGTGCATGGGGCATGGGGCATGGTGCATGGGGCATGGGGCATGGGGCATGGTGCATGGGGCATGGTGCATGGGGCATGGTGCATGGGGCATGGTGCAGGGGGCATGGGGCATGGGGCATGGTGAGGAAAGAGTGAGGGTGCTTGAAAGAAGGCGGTTTCTGGGTTAGAATGCTAAGAGACACGAGAATTATATGCAAGCACAAGCAATGGACGAGCAGAGTTTACGAGGGTGGGAGGAGGGCAGCAGGGGAGGTAGGAGAGAGCAGGGGACACGGCACCTGTGGTGAGGGCAGCACCTGTGGTGAGGGCGGCAGCGATCTTCATGGTGAGAGGCACGTCGCCCGTGTGGTCCTTGCCCACGAACAGCGCCTTCACCTGTGCGCCCACGGAGGCAGAGGGCACAGGAGCAGCGAGGAGCGCAGACAGTTGAGTGTTGAGCGCAGGGGCGGTGCTCAACGCATCACAGCGCACCATTCTGTGGCCTGCCGACGCCGGCAGCTCGCCCGTGCGGCTCGCATCCATAGAGGGCGCATAGAAGCTCACGGGGTGGTAGAGGGCGCATGGAGGCTCACGGGGTGGTAGAGGGCGCATGGAGGCTCACGGGGTGGTAGAGGGCGCATGGAGGCTCACGGGGTGGTAGAGGGCGCATGGAGGCTCACGGGGTGGTAGAGGGCGCATGGAGGCTCACGGGGTGGTAGAGGGCGCATGGAGGCTCATGGGGTGGTAGAGGGCGCATGGAGGCTCACGGGGTGGTAGAGGGCGCATGGAGGCTCACGGGGTGGTAGAGGGCGCATGGAGGCTCACGGGGTCGTAGAGGGCGCATGGAGGCTCACGGGGTGGTAGAGGGCGCATGGAGGCTCACGGGGTCGTAGAGGCCGATGCGCAGGCCGCCATAGACGCACTGGCGGTGCAGCCCCGGCACGAGCCCCTTCCACAGCGCCGACAGCCCCTCCTCGCGCGCGATGGTCCCCATCGTCCCCACCATCCCGCGGTACTTCACTGCGCCGATCGCCCCGCCCGCCCCCCCAGACGGCTTGCCCTGCAGCTGCAGGCGCACCTTGGCCGTGTCGATGGGCAGCGTGCAGAACTGCGCGCAGAGCGGGGGGAGAATGGCGGAGAGAGGGGAGGACAGCGAGGGGGGGTGGGGGGTAATGGGGCCCTCGTGGCTACTGCCGACCCGAGACGCGCTTCGTCTCAAAACAAGGCACGGGCGGGGAGGGAAAGCGGCGCGACGGGAATAGAGACGAGCACACAGGGAGCTTGCGATGCGGGCGGAGGGAGGCAGAGCGGCTAGGGACGCCGCAGATCTCACCTCGGCGAAGCACGCCGACATGGCGCTGCTAGCGAGGATGCCATAAACGGGTACGTACATCCGCTTCCCGTCCACCACCACCTCCCCGCTGCCGCCTCCTCCCCCCATCCCGCGCGATCGCGATCCACACGGCCGCCACACGCCGGTCGGCAGGGGAACAGCTGATCGCACGCGATGGCACGCGCGGGGGAGAGCGAATGTGGAATCGAGACGGCGCGAGCACGCAGGCAGCACGGCTCCGATGGAACTCGTCGCAGCGTGCGGTGCGGCGCGTTGCGGACGACGACCGATCGATAAGAAATGGCGCAGCGAGCTCGCCGTGCTGTCCGCAACAGCTGAGTGACAGCAGGCCTAGGGGCTTTCGCAAGACCTAGGTTCAGCAGATTCGGAGCGTGCAAGGAAGGCTGGCGCCGTGCTCGTGTGGCGAAAAGATTTGGTGGTGGCGGCGAGGTGTGGCACGGAATGGAGTGGAGAGGCGAATGTGTGTGTGGTCGGAGTGGCAGGACCTAGGCTTGGTTGGAGCAGAGACTCGTTACATGGGCATGGAGGAGAATAGGCAGCGAGGAATATCGAAGGCAGGAATATCGAGGTGCGCTTGGCGGGGCACGAGGAGCTCTCGATTGTGTCACCTTGGGCGCACACTGGACTGCCAGGTTGGACTGAAAGCATGCCCTCCCGTCCGGTGAGGCGGTTCTTGATTGGTCGCGGCGTCCCAGGTTTGTGGGCTCCACGAAGTTGGGGAATGAAAAAGCCTTTTGTACAGAGAGACTTCTGGCCTCGCTTGCAATTGTAAAAAGGGACAGCATAACACAGGAGATTACCTAATGTACATCCTGAACTACTGCTCAGTGAACTATCACCTTTCCAAGGCTCCTGCTTTCTTTAGAATCAGTTGTAGTAGAAAATGGCTTGCATTACGTGGCCTTGATCTCGTGCAATGTCAGTCGTCAGCGCCAGGGCTCGATAATCGGTACTGCCACGTGCGGCGCTGCCGCACCACGAGCTGCCAGAAGCCCTTCTCCCACGGGCCCTCCCCTCTCCACCCCTCCCCTCCCTCCGCTGCGCCTCCCTGCCCACCCTGCCCATGCTGGCCCACCAGCATGGACCGACAGCTGCGCACGGCACCACTCTTCACCGCGCTGCTGACCACCAAAGAGGCCTCACCACTCTCGCACCTCGACCCACCTTCCGTTGCATGCCATGCGTGCTCGTGTGAAAGCCCACCCCCCATGCCCACCACCTCCATCGTCCCCTTCACAGCCCTGTCCTCCCTCACAGCCCTGTCCTCCCTCACAGCCCTGTCCTCCCTCACAGCCCTGTCCTCCCTCACAGCCCTGTCCTCCCTCACAGCCCATGGACCGCAGCTCCCTCCGCTCACCTCCACCAGCCGCCTCTGCTTCACCGGACTCACGCCTGCTGCTGCTGCTGCTGCTGCTGCTGCAGCTGCTGCCGCCATGCCCACATCTACCCGCCCCTCATCCTCTGCCTTCCTCTTCTCTCCCCTCACTGCCAGCGCCATGCCCCCCTGCTCCCCTCTTGCCAACAAGTGCCCTACCTCTCGCCTGCCCCGTCTGCTCCTCCGCCCCTTGCTCTCCCACGCCCAGCGCCACTCGTCACTGCTGCTCTTCTCACTGCCACTGCTGCCACCACCGCCACGAGTGGCAGCAGGGCTGCGATGAGCACGAGGCGGGGGAGCAGCAGTGCCACCAGCACCGCCCGCCCACGGGCCCCCCTGAGCGGAGCGGCTCTTCTTCCTCCGCCGCCCGCCATCCCACACCATCCACAGCTGCCGCCGCCGCCGCCTGCTCGCCCCTCCGCTCCACCGCTGCTGCCCCTCCTGCTGCCCCTCCTGCTGCCCCTCCTGCTGTCCCTCCTGCTGCCCCTCCTGCTGCCCCTCCTGCTGCCCCTCCTGCTGCCCCTCCTGCTGTCCCTCCTGCTGTCCCTCCTGCTGCCCCTCCTGCTGCCCCTCCTGCTGTCCCTCCTGTTGCCCCTCCTGCTGCCCCTCCTGCTGCCCCTCCTGCTGCCCCTCCTGCTGCCTCTCCTGCTGCCCCTCCTGCTGCCCCTCCTGCTGCCCCTCCTGCTGCCCCTCCTGCTGCCCCTCCTGCTGCCCCTCCTGCTGCCCCTCCTGCTGCCCCTCCTGCTGCCCCTCCTCCTGTTGCCCCTCCTGCTGCCCCTCCTGCTGCCCCTCCTGCTGCCCCTCCTGCTGCCCCTCCTGCTGCCCCTCCTGCTGCCCCTCCTGCTGCCCCTCCTGCTGTCCCTCCTGTTGCCCCTCCTGCTGCCCCTCCTGCTGCCCCTCCTGTTGCCCCTCCTGCTGCCCCTCCTGCTGCCCCTCCTGCTGCCCCTCCTGCTGTCCCTCCTGTTGCCCCTCCTGCTGCCCCTCCTGCTGCCCCTCCTGTTGCCCCTCCTGCTGCACCACCACCCTTCCCAGCGTCCTTGCTGCCCCACCCAGGGGGGTCTCAGCACCCTCTCCTCGCACACCATACGCACCACCACTACCCGCATCAGTGTCGCCATCAGCATGAGCATGAGCATGAGTGCGTGCAGAAGCAATGGCATCAGGAGGTGCAAATTGTTGGCGATGGCCTCGTAGCGCATACCCCTCTCTATCACCTCGTAGCGCATACCCCTCTCTATCACCTCGTAGCGCATACCCCTCTCTATCACCTCGTAGCGCACACCCCTCTCTATCACCTCCTTCCGCTGCACCTGCTGCTGTTGCTGCCGCCTCACCTGATGCATCACATGGTGGGCACGCCGCCTCACTCGCTCTCTCACCACACGCACTCGCTCTCTCACCACACGCACTCGCTTCGCCATGGCACTCTCCGCTTCCTCCGTCTGCCCGCCACACTCCATTGCACTCACCGCCACCCCCCTCACACTCACCCGCCTGTTCACCACTGCCCGCTCGCACTGCCCCTTGCACGCCCTCCCCTTCCTCCTCATTCCCCACCTCGCATCCATCCCCTTGCTCCTTCGCTCCTCCCTCTCTCCCTTTCTCCGTTCCTCCCTCGCTCCATTCATCCATACCTTTGCCCTCATCTCCTCCTATTCTTACCCCCCATCTTTCCTTCCCTCTTCCTTCCTCTACTTCCTCCCCTCCTTCCTCCTTTCCTCCCTCCTCTTTCCCCTCCATTTTCCCGTCCCCAATTTCCTCCATTCCTTCTTCCCCTGCTCCCGCCTCTCCTGCCTCCCTTCTTCTCTCCCCACTTTCCTCCCTTCTTCCTTCCTCTCCTACCTGATCTCTTTCCTCCTTTCCTGTCCCCCGTATTCCCTCCCTATTCTGCTCCCCTCTTTCCTCCTTCAATCCCTCCCCTCCCTCCTCCTCTCCTCCCTCCTCTCTTCCCTCCTTTTGCTCCTCCCCTCTTTCCCCCACTGCCTCCCACCCTCCTACCTCTGCTGTTTCCTTCCTTTTGCCCTCCACTCCTCCCCCGGCGCCCTCCACTCCTCCCCCAGCGCCCTCCACCCCTCCCCAGCGTCCGTCCCTCTCCGCCATCTCACACCGCGTCATGTCCGGCTCCACCCTTGTCCCTGCCCACGCCACCATTGCATCACCCCCCTCCGCCACCATCGCATCACCCCCCTCCGCCACCCCTGCCAGCGCAGCCCCCTCGCTGCTGCCCTCCACCCGGTCCCCATTGCACCCACCCCGCCCCCTGCTGCTGCTGCTGCATCGCACTCCCATCCCCCCACAGCACCCCTCTTCACCCATTCTTTGCCCGCCACTGCACGCCATCTGCTCAACTACTGGACCACCTTGGCCCCGCTCCTCCACCCTCGCGCTCTCTGCACCCGGCTGCCATCGCTGCCCCCCTGCACCGCCTACCTCGCCCGCACTGCTCCCCACCTGCCCGCCTCCACGTGCCACTGTGATGCCTTGTGGTGCCACTGTGATGCCTCCACGTGCCACTGTGATGCCTTGTGGTGCCACTGTGATGCCTCCACGTGCCACTGTGATGCCTTGCCCTTCTCCTCGTGGTGCTGCTGGGCCATCCCACGGCGCGCCCACGCGGCCATGAGCGGCCACCACAGGGACGCACTCACGCGCCACAGCACCATGGGAACGGCTGGGGAGGAGCAGGGCGCGGGGCAAGCACAGGGGGGTTGGCGGGGGGTGGGGCATGGCCGGGGGGGGCAGGAGAGGAGGCGAGGGGGGTGGGGGAGGAGCGGGCAGCAGCAGCACGTCCAGCGCTGTCATGTGGGCGCGCTGCCCCACCTGCGCCCTCGCCTCCGCACCCGCACTCTCCTGCACACCGCATGGTGCCCACAGTGCCGCGGGATGGGCGTGGGGGGGAGCAGGAGGCGGCAGGGCAGGGGGAGGGGTGGCGGCAGGGCGGTGCAGTGCGGGGTGGGTGGCAGCACGCCCCTGTGGGGGAGGCCGCCCCTCTGCTGCTGGTGCCGCGTGCTCACCACGCATGGCGCTCCCTACTGCCACCTGTATGGCTGCAAGCTGCTCGGCGTGCACACGCATCACTTCCATCTGCTGCTTCCACTCGCGAGGTCGGGTAGGGTGGGGTAGTGGCGGGTGTGGCAAGGAGCATGGCGCATGGCAGGGGGCACGGCCGTGATCGTTGCTGCCACGCTCTCCCTGCTTGCACCCACCGTTGCCGCATGGCATCTCAGCAGCACCATCAGCTACAGCACCATCAGCTACAGCACCATCAGCTACAGCACCATCAGCTACAGCACCATCAGCTACAGCACCATCAGCTACAGCACATTCACTTGCACCACACCCTGCTTCCTCGCCCTCGCCTGTGCCACACCATGTATTGCCACCACATGCCACGTCACCACATGCCACGTCACCAAATGCCATATCATTGCATGGCTTTTCGTCAAGCTCACCACCACAATGCCTGCCATCTCTGCACCCCTCGCCACCGCTCTCAACCACTGCACCCATTCCTCCCACAGTACGCCCTCCTGCGTCCTCCACCTCTCCATTGTTCATGCCCGCCCCCCGCCCTCCGCCCCCCCCACCCTTTCTCACCCACTGCTCCCTGTCAACGTTCCCTCCGAACCCCTCCAGGTCATGCTCGTTAGAGAGTGATTCGATATCAGCCACGTCCTCATCCCACCGCGCCGGTGCCGCTGCTCCCAGCGCTGCCAGCACGCCTGCTGCTGCGGCTGCGCGCCCTGCCATCGGGTGCTCTTGCAGCGTGCATACAGTGCGGTGCGGTGCGGTGGGGGTGGCAGAGAGCACAGTGTGCAGGCGCAGGGCGAGGCGGTGGAGGGCGGGCGTGTGGCGGCGCAGCGAGATGATGCGCAGGGGGCCACAGCGACAGGCGCGGTTGATGCTGGCTGGGCGGTTGGGGTAGCGTGGGTTGACAGGGGAGGGGATGGGGAGAGATGGAGGAGGAATAAGAGACGGTGAGACGTGGGCAGGCAGCGGTACGGGTGAGACGAGGGACGAGAAGACAAGAGTTGCGGGAAGTGGCAGTGGTGTTGAAGAACAATGAGAGCGAGGGGAGATGCATCCAACCACATGGCCACACCCACGGCCGGCCACGTGCACGCACCGTGGTGCAGGCAGATGGGGTCGCGCACACAGCAGCACGCCACCACCGCCAGGTGGCACAGGCGGCAGCACAGCGAGCATGGCAGCGCCGCTGACAGCCCCGGCAGCACCGCCACCACGGCGCCTCGCTGCTGCATCCACGCCTGGATGCGCCCCTCCTCGCCCACCAGCCGCACCAACTGCTCCACCGCGCTGCGCCCCACGTGGCCCATGGTGGCCAGGCGAGGTGGGGTGACCTGAATGGCATCGATGGCGTCTGTAGAGTCCACGGGGTCAACCAAGTCAGTGGGGTCAATGGGGTCAACAGGGTCAGTGGGGCTAGAGGGGTGCATGGGGTCAGTGTTGCCAGTGGAGGGGTGCATGGGGTCAGTGTTGCCAGTGGAGGGGTGCATGGGGTCAGTGTTGCCAGTGGAGGGAGGCAGGTCAACGGGGTCAACAGCGCCACCATGAGTATCGCTGCGCCTGCGCTCCTCACTGCGTCCTATCTGTGTGCCACTGCCATTGCTGCTTGCCACGCCACCAGGCGCTGCTGCCGCTGTACATGGAGGCAAGTCAACGCGGTCAACACGATCAGCAGGGGGCCCCGGGCCGCTCTCCTTGCAGGGCGAGAACACCACCACTGCATGCCGTGCCGCCTTCTCTGCGCTCTGCCCTCTCAACCCATCGTGCACCTCCTCTCCCGCCCTCCCTAGTGTCCTGGCGGCACTCCCGCCCTCCTCCACCCTCTCCTGCATTTTTCCCACTTGCTCCTCATCCGCCCTCTCGCCCCTCTCCCCCATCTTTCCCCCCTCGCTCCTGAGCAGCGCCACCACGTGGCGGCACAGCAGCTCCTCCCAGCACAGCAGCGGCGCGCGGCGCAGCACGGCGTAGCGCCGGGCGGCAGCAGCAGCGAACGGAAACCAGTCGGGCAGCGCCACGTTGACCGCCTCGCCGCAGTTGAAGCCTGCAGGGGAGGGAGGGGAGGGGGGGAGGCAGGGGGCGGACAGAGGGGGACACGGAAGAGCAGAGGGGGACACGGAAGAGCAGAGGGGGACACGGAAGAGCAGAGGGGAACACGGAAGAGCAGAGGGGGACACGGAAGAGCAGAGGGGGACACGGAAGAGCAGAGGGGGACACGGAAGAGCAGAGGGGGACACGGAAGAGCAGAGAGGAACACGGAAGAGCAGAGGGGGACACGGAAGAGCAGAGGGGGACACGGAAGAGCAGAGAGGAACACGGAAGAGCAGAGGGGGACACGGAAGAGCAGAGGGGGACACGGAAGAGCAGAGGGGGACACGGAAGAGCAGAGGGGGACACGGAAGAGCAGAGGGGAACACGGAAGAGCAGAGGGGAACACGGAAGAGCAGAGGGGGACACGGAAGAGCAGAGGGGGACACGGAAGAGCAGAGGGGGACACGGAAGAGCAGAGGGGGACACGGAAGAGCAGAGAGGGACACGGAAGAGCAGAGGGGGACACGGAAGAGCAGAGGGGAACACGGAAGAGCAGAGAGGAACACGGAAGAGCAGAGGGGGACACGGAAGAGCAGAGGGGGACACGGAAGAGCAGAGGGGGACACGGAAGAGCAGAGGGGGACACGGAAGAGCAGAGGGGAACACGGAAGAGCAGAGGGGAACACGGAAGAGCAGAGGGGGACACGGAAGAGCAGAGGGGGACACGGAAGAGCAGAGGGGGACACGGAAGAGCAGAGGGGGACACGGAAGAGCAGAGAGGGACACGGAAGAGCAGAGGGGGACACGGAAGAGCAGAGGGGAACACGGAAGAGCAGAGGGGAACACGGAAGAGCAGAGGGGAACACGGAAGAGCAGAGGGGGACACGGAAGAGCAGAGGGGGACACGGAAGAGCAGAGGGGGACACGGAAGAGCAGAGGGGGACACGGAAGAGCAGAGAGGGACACGGAAGAGCAGAGGGGGACACGGAAGAGCAGAGGGGAACACGGAAGAGCAGAGGGGAACACGGAAGAGCAGAGGGGGACACGGAAGAGCAGAGGGGGACACGGAAGAGCAGAGGGGGACACGGAAGAGCAGAGGGGGACACGGAAGAGCAGAGAGGGACACGGAAGAGCAGAGGGGGACACGGAAGAGCAGAGGGGAACACGGAAGAGCAGAGGGGAACACGGAAGAGCAGAGGGGGACACGGAAGAGCAGAGGGGAACACGGAAGAGCAGAGGGGAACACGGAAGAGCAGAGGGGGACACGGAAGAGCAGAGGGGGACACGGAAGAGCAGAGGGGAACACGGAAGAGCAGAGGGGAACACGGAAGAGCAGAGGGGGACACGGAAGAGCAGAGGGGAACACGGAAGAGCAGAGGGGAACACGGAAGAGCAGAGGGGGACACGGAAGAGCAGAGGGGGACACGGAAGAGCAGAGGGGGACACGGAAGAGCAGAGAGGGACACGGAAGAGCAGAGGGGGACACGGAAGAGCAGAGGGGAACACGGAAGAGCAGAGGGGAACACGGAAGAGCAGAGGGGGACACGGAAGAGCAGAGGGGAACACGGAAGAGCAGAGGGGAACACGGAAGAGCAGAGGGGGACACGGAAGAGCAGAGGGGGACACGGAAGAGCAGAGAGGAACACGGAAGAGCAGAGGGGGACACGGAAGAGCAGAGGGGGACACGGAAGAGCAGAGAGGAACACGGAAGAGCAGAGGGGGACACGGAAGAGCAGAGGGGGACACGGAAGAGCAGAGGGGGACACGGAAGAGCAGAGGGGGACACGGAAGAGCAGAGGGGAACACGGAAGAGCAGAGGGGAACACGGAAGAGCAGAGGGGGACACGGAAGAGCAGAGGGGGACACGGAAGAGCAGAGGGGGACACGGAAGAGCAGAGGGGGACACGGAAGAGCAGAGAGGGACACGGAAGAGCAGAGGGGGACACGGAAGAGCAGAGGGGAACACGGAAGAGCAGAGAGGAACACGGAAGAGCAGAGGGGGACACGGAAGAGCAGAGGGGGACACGGAAGAGCAGAGGGGGACACGGAAGAGCAGAGGGGGACACGGAAGAGCAGAGGGGAACACGGAAGAGCAGAGGGGAACACGGAAGAGCAGAGGGGGACACGGAAGAGCAGAGGGGGACACGGAAGAGCAGAGGGGGACACGGAAGAGCAGAGGGGGACACGGAAGAGCAGAGAGGGACACGGAAGAGCAGAGGGGGACACGGAAGAGCAGAGGGGAACACGGAAGAGCAGAGGGGAACACGGAAGAGCAGAGGGGAACACGGAAGAGCAGAGGGGGACACGGAAGAGCAGAGGGGGACACGGAAGAGCAGAGGGGGACACGGAAGAGCAGAGGGGGACACGGAAGAGCAGAGAGGGACACGGAAGAGCAGAGGGGGACACGGAAGAGCAGAGGGGAACACGGAAGAGCAGAGGGGAACACGGAAGAGCAGAGGGGGACACGGAAGAGCAGAGGGGGACACGGAAGAGCAGAGGGGGACACGGAAGAGCAGAGGGGGACACGGAAGAGCAGAGAGGGACACGGAAGAGCAGAGGGGGACACGGAAGAGCAGAGGGGAACACGGAAGAGCAGAGGGGAACACGGAAGAGCAGAGGGGGACACGGAAGAGCAGAGGGGAACACGGAAGAGCAGAGGGGAACACGGAAGAGCAGAGGGGGACACGGAAGAGCAGAGGGGGACACGGAAGAGCAGAGGGGAACACGGAAGAGCAGAGGGGAACACGGAAGAGCAGAGGGGGACACGGAAGAGCAGAGGGGAACACGGAAGAGCAGAGGGGAACACGGAAGAGCAGAGGGGGACACGGAAGAGCAGAGGGGGACACGGAAGAGCAGAGGGGGACACGGAAGAGCAGAGAGGGACACGGAAGAGCAGAGGGGGACACGGAAGAGCAGAGGGGAACACGGAAGAGCAGAGGGGAACACGGAAGAGCAGAGGGGGACACGGAAGAGCAGAGGGGAACACGGAAGAGCAGAGGGGAACACGGAAGAGCAGAGGGGGACACGGAAGAGCAGAGGGGGACACGGAAGAGCAGAGGGGGACACGGAAGAGCAGAGGGGGACACAGAAGAGCAGAGAGGGACACGGAAGAGCAGAGAGGGACACGGAAGAGCAGAGGGGGACACGGAAGAGCAGAGGGGGACACGGAAGAGCAGAGGGGGACACGGAAGAGCAGAGGGGGACACGGAAGAGCAGAGGGGGACACAGAAGAGCAGAGAGGGACACGGAAGAGCAGAGAGGGACACGGAAGAGCAGAGGGGGACACGGAAGAGCAGAGGGGGACACGGAAGAGCAGAGGGGAACACGGAAGAGCAGAGGGGGACACGGAAGAGCAGAGGGGGACACGGAAGAGCAGAGGGGGACACGGAAGAGCAGAGGGGGACACGGAAGAGCAGAGGGGGACACGGAAGAGCAGAGGGGGACACGGAAGAGCAGAGGGGGACACGGAAGAGCAGAGGGGGACACGGAAGAGCAGAGGGGGACACGGAAGAGCAGAGGGGGACACGGAAGAGCAGAGGGGGACACGGAAGAGCAGAGGGGAACACGGAAGAGCAGAGGGGGACACGGAAGAGCAGAGGGGGACACGGAAGAGCAGAGGGGGACACGGAAGAGCAGAGGGGGACACGGAAGAGCAGAGAGGGACACGGAAGAGCAGAGGGGGACACGGAAGAGCAGAGGGGAACACGGAAGAGCAGAGGGGAACACGGAAGAGCAGAGGGGGACACGGAAGAGCAGAGGGGGACACGGAAGAGCAGAGGGGGACACGGAAGAGCAGAGAGGGACACGGAAGAGCAGAGGGGGACACGGAAGAGCAGAGGGGAACACGGAAGAGCAGAGGGGAACACGGAAGAGCAGAGGGGGACACGGAAGAGCAGAGGGGAACACGGAAGAGCAGAGGGGGACACGGAAGAGCAGAGGGGGACACGGAAGAGCAGAGGGGGACACGGAAGAGCAGAGGGGGACACGGAAGAGCAGAGGGGAACACGGAAGAGCAGAGGGGAACACGGAAGAGCAGAGGGGGACACGGAAGAGCAGAGGGGGACACGGAAGAGCAGAGGGGGACACGGAAGAGCAGAGGGGGACACGGAAGAGCAGAGAGGGACACGGAAGAGCAGAGGGGGACACGGAAGAGCAGAGGGGAACACGGAAGAGCAGAGGGGAACACGGAAGAGCAGAGGGGAACACGGAAGAGCAGAGGGGGACACGGAAGAGCAGAGGGGGACACGGAAGAGCAGAGGGGGACACGGAAGAGCAGAGGGGGACACGGAAGAGCAGAGAGGGACACGGAAGAGCAGAGGGGGACACGGAAGAGCAGAGGGGAACACGGAAGAGCAGAGGGGAACACGGAAGAGCAGAGGGGGACACGGAAGAGCAGAGGGGGACACGGAAGAGCAGAGGGGGACACGGAAGAGCAGAGGGGGACACGGAAGAGCAGAGAGGGACACGGAAGAGCAGAGGGGGACACGGAAGAGCAGAGGGGAACACGGAAGAGCAGAGGGGAACACGGAAGAGCAGAGGGGGACACGGAAGAGCAGAGGGGAACACGGAAGAGCAGAGGGGAACACGGAAGAGCAGAGGGGGACACGGAAGAGCAGAGGGGGACACGGAAGAGCAGAGGGGAACACGGAAGAGCAGAGGGGAACACGGAAGAGCAGAGGGGGACACGGAAGAGCAGAGGGGAACACGGAAGAGCAGAGGGGAACACGGAAGAGCAGAGGGGGACACGGAAGAGCAGAGGGGGACACGGAAGAGCAGAGGGGGACACGGAAGAGCAGAGAGGGACACGGAAGAGCAGAGGGGGACACGGAAGAGCAGAGGGGAACACGGAAGAGCAGAGGGGAACACGGAAGAGCAGAGGGGGACACGGAAGAGCAGAGGGGAACACGGAAGAGCAGAGGGGAACACGGAAGAGCAGAGGGGGACACGGAAGAGCAGAGGGGGACACGGAAGAGCAGAGGGGGACACGGAAGAGCAGAGGGGGACACAGAAGAGCAGAGAGGGACACGGAAGAGCAGAGAGGGACACGGAAGAGCAGAGGGGGACACGGAAGAGCAGAGGGGGACACGGAAGAGCAGAGGGGGACACGGAAGAGCAGAGGGGGACACGGAAGAGCAGAGGGGGACACAGAAGAGCAGAGAGGGACACGGAAGAGCAGAGAGGGACACGGAAGAGCAGAGGGGGACACGGAAGAGCAGAGGGGGACACGGAAGAGCAGAGGGGAACACGGAAGAGCAGAGGGGGACACGGAAGAGCAGAGGGGGACACGGAAGAGCAGAGGGGGACACGGAAGAGCAGAGGGGGACACGGAAGAGCAGAGGGGGACACGGAAGAGCAGAGGGGGACACGGAAGAGCAGAGGGGGACACGGAAGAGCAGAGGGGGACACGGAAGAGCAGAGGGGGACACGGAAGAGCAGAGGGGGACACGGAAGAGCAGAGGGGGACACGGAAGAGCAGAGGGGAACACGGAAGAGCAGAGGGGGACACGGAAGAGCAGAGGGGGACACGGAAGAGCAGAGGGGGACACGGAAGAGCAGAGGGGGACACGGAAGAGCAGAGAGGGACACGGAAGAGCAGAGGGGGACACGGAAGAGCAGAGGGGAACACGGAAGAGCAGAGGGGAACACGGAAGAGCAGAGGGGGACACGGAAGAGCAGAGGGGGACACGGAAGAGCAGAGGGGGACACGGAAGAGCAGAGAGGGACACGGAAGAGCAGAGGGGGACACGGAAGAGCAGAGGGGAACACGGAAGAGCAGAGGGGAACACGGAAGAGCAGAGGGGGACACGGAAGAGCAGAGGGGAACACGGAAGAGCAGAGGGGAACACGGAAGAGCAGAGGGGGACACGGAAGAGCAGAGGGGGACACGGAAGAGCAGAGGGGGACACGGAAGAGCAGAGGGGGACACAGAAGAGCAGAGAGGGACACGGAAGAGCAGAGAGGGACACGGAAGAGCAGAGGGGGACACGGAAGAGCAGAGGGGGACACGGAAGAGCAGAGGGGGACACGGAAGAGCAGAGGGGGACACGGAAGAGCAGAGGGGGACACAGAAGAGCAGAGAGGGACACGGAAGAGCAGAGAGGGACACGGAAGAGCAGAGGGGGACACGGAAGAGCAGAGGGGGACACGGAAGAGCAGAGGGGGACACGGAAGAGCAGAGGGGGACACGGAAGAGCAGAGAGGGACACGGAAGAGCAGAGGGGGACACGGAAGAGCAGAGGGGAACACGGAAGAGCAGAGGGGGACACGGAAGAGCAGAGGGGAACACGGAAGAGCAGAGGGGAACACGGAAGAGCAGAGGGGGACACGGAAGAGCAGAGGGGGACACGGAAGAGCAGAGGGGGACACGGAAGAGCAGAGGGGGACACAGAAGAGCAGAGAGGGACACGGAAGAGCAGAGAGGGACACGGAAGAGCAGAGGGGGACACGGAAGAGCAGAGGGGGACACGGAAGAGCAGAGGGGGACACGGAAGAGCAGAGGGGGACACGGAAGAGCAGAGGGGGACACGGAAGAGCAGAGGGGGACACGGAAGAGCAGAGGGGGACACGGAAGAGCAGAGGGGGACACGGAAGAGCAGAGGGGGACACGGAAGAGCAGAGGGGGACACGGAAGAGCAGAGGGGGACACGGAAGAGCAGAGGGGGACACGGAAGAGCAGAGGGGGACACGGAAGAGCAGAGGGGGACACGGAAGAGCAGAGGGGGACACGGAAGAGCAGAGGGGGACACGGAAGAGCAGAGGGGGACACGGAAGAGCAGAGGGGGACACGGAAGAGCAGAGGGGGACACGGAAGAGCAGAGGGGGACACGGAAGAGCAGAGGGGGACACGGAAGAGCAGAGGGGGACACGGAAGAGCAGAGGGGGACACGGAAGAGCAGAGGGGGACACGGAAGAGCAGAGGGGGACACGGAAGAGCAGAGGGGGACACGGAAGAGCAGAGGGGGACACGGAAGAGCAGAGGGGGACACGGAAGAGCAGAGGGGGACACGGAAGAGCAGAGGGGGACACGGAAGAGCAGAGGGGGACACGGAAGAGCAGAGGGGGACACGGAAGAGCAGAGGGGGACACGGAAGAGCAGAGGGGGACACGGAAGAGCAGAGGGGGACGTGAGTGCATGCATGTGTGAGACTGTGTACCTTTTGCTAATGCCTTGTGCATCAGCGAGTATTGAATGATTGTGTGAGTGTGAGTAACTGAGTGTGAGAACAGTGAGTGAGCGCATGTGCATGTGTGTATGTGTGCAAGCTTGCATGTATGTTGATCTGTGGGGCGGGGCTACACACATGTACACCTGCTAATGCATGCCATGCACACACCACAGCGCCGTCTCTCCCCTCACCATGGCTGAACCCAGCATGGTACGACCATCTCACCATGGCTGAACCCAGCATGGTACGACCGCGGGTACGTCACCACGAACTCCCCCGCGGCCTGCACGGCGCGCACCACGGGCACGCCATGGGCCAGCAGCAGGCGGGGCGAGAACATGGTCGTCTTGCCCATCAGCAACGCGCACGCTCGCCCCACCGCCCCACCGCCCCACCGCCCCTGCTCGCCCGCCCCTGCACCACCCGCCCTCTCCACCTCGCCCACCTCACAGCTCCCCGCGCACCTGCCCTCCCCCCCTCCGCCCTCACCCCTCACAGCAGGCGCCCCTCCCCCGGCCGCGCCCCTCCCACCGCGACCCCGCCCTCCCCGCCCCCCTCTCCTGTTCCCCCACCCGCCCCCTCGCCCAGGCGTCCGCAACTGCTCTCCGCAGGTGCCCCCCTGCACACTCCCTCCGCCCCTCACCTCCCCCGCGCCACCACCCTGCACAGCCGCGCCCCTCCATTCCACCCCACCCCCTCCGTGCGCCCTCCCTACCTCCTCCTCGCACTTGACGCCCCCACGTGGGTCCCTGGCCGCGCACCCCCCCTGGGCGTCCCCCTGGCCGTACACGTGGCGCATGGCGACGGCCTCAAAGGCGTGCGCCGCCATGCCCGGCACGCCGTACCACGTCTTGGGCGCGCCCATGTGCTGGTAGTTGATGCTGGCGGCGGGCAGATGGGTGGTTCGGTGCGGTGCGGTGTGGGAGGGGCAGAGGGGCAGGTGAGCGAGGCAGGAAGGGGATGACATGTAGCCAGGTGGACGCAATAGCACGGAATGCAATGAGTTGCGCAGGGCTGGCATGCGATGATATGGGATACGGTGGAATGGCATGCGATGATATGGGATACGGTGGGATGGCATGCGATGATATGGGATACGGTGGGATGGCATGCGATGATATGGGATACAGTGGAATGGCATGCGATGATATGGGATACGGTGGGATGGCATGCGATGATATGGGATACGGTGGGATGGCATGCGATGATATGGGATACAGTGGAATGGCATGTGATGATATGGGATACGGTGGAATGGCATGCGATGATATGGGATACGGTGGAATGGCATGCGATGATATGGGATACGGTGGGATGGCATGCGATGATATGGGATACGGTGGGATGGCATGCGATGATATGGGATACGGTGGGATGGCATGCAATGATATGGGATACGGTGGGATGGCATGCGATGATATGGGATACGGTGGAATGGCATGCGATGATATGGGATACGGTGGGATGGCATGCGATGATATGGGATACGGTGGGATGGCATGCGATGATATGGGATACGGTGGCATGGCATGCGATGATATGGGATACGGTGGGATGGCATGCGATGATATGGGATACGGTGGGATGGCATGCGATGATATGGGATACGGTGGAATGGCATGCGATGATATGGGATACGGTGGAATGGCATGCGATGATATGGGATACGGTGGAATGGCATGCGATGATATGGGATACGGTGGGATGGCATGCGATGATATGGGATACGGTGGAATGGCATGCGATGATATGGGATACGGTGGAATGGCATGCGATGATATGGGATACGGTGGGATGGCATGCGATGATATGGGATACGGTGGAATGGCATGCGATGATATGGGATACGGTGGGATGGCATGCGATGATATGGGATACGGTGGAATGGCATGCGATGATATGGGATACGGTGGGATGGCATGCGATGATATGGGATACGGTGGGATGGCATGCGATGATATGGGATACCGTGGGATGGCATGCGATGATATGGGATACGGTGGAATGGCATGCGATGATATGGGATACGGTGGGATGGCATGCGATGGTATGGGATACGGTGGGATGGCATGCGATGATATGGTATACGGTGGAATGGCATGCGATGATATGGGATACGGTGGGATGGCATGCGATGGTATGGGATACAGTGGGATGGCATGGAAGGAAAAAGAGAGTGGGTCCAGCTCAGCGTGACCCAGGTTAGGGCAACCAGCGGCGCACAAAACACGTGTCACTGCGCTTTGTGTAGCACACCTGTCATGGCAGCCCCTGGCACAGCACGGCAGGCCACGGCCCACAATGGTGCCGGGCGCCATGGGGTGCGCTTACCTGTAGAGGTAGTGGTCCTCAACGTGCCCACCTGTAGAGGTAGTGGTCCTCAACGTGCCAGGCGAAGGTGCTGAAGAGCATCCCCACGTACAGCATGGGCGCTGTCACGCCCTGCCGTGGGGGGAGAGGGGGGAGAGAGGAGGGGTGAGGAGGATGCAGAGAGGCAGGACGGTGCAGGCAGGCAGGCAGGATGAAGGGATGATGGAATGGGGAAAAAGGGGTTGGGTCGGGGGGAGATGCGGGAGGATCTGAAGGAGTTGGGGCGGATGGATGAAGGAGAGAGCGAGTGCAGCGCTGAAGGATTGAAGCTGCACAGGGTGGTTGGATGTGGTTGAGAACGGGCAGGAGGGACAGCAGAGGGCACACGCAGAGGGACGGGTGGGGCGGGAGAGGCAGTGTGGGAGGGCGGGGAAAAGGGGCCGGGGGCGAGGGGGTAGGGGGAGGGGGAGGGGCACTAACCGCAATGTCAACGGGCAGGCGGTGCAGCACAGAGGCGGGCAGCCGGGGGAGCACCTGCAGGGGGGGGAGGCGAGGCGCGGTTGAGGGTGGAAGAGAGAGGAACAGATGGGCCAGAGACAAAAGGAGGAGAGAAGGAGTGCGAACAGTGGCACGGCAAGGGTGCGGTGAAAGGCAGTGGTGAGTGCGGTCAATGCAGGTGAGCGAGAGAGATGAGGGATGAGAGGGGGGCGTGTGGTGGTGGTGGCAGGGGGAGGTGCGCACGTTGAGGTTCCAGCTGGACGAGGCGAGCGGGTCACGCGGGTGGGAGGAGAACCCCGACCCGTCCACATCACTGCCATACTCCACATGCGCCACCCCCCGCCCCCCCCGCGCCCCTGCGCCCCCACCTCCCCCCTCCGCCCCCCGCCCTCCGCCCTTGCTCCTATCTGTGTGCCCCCCTGCCTCCCTGGCGCCGCCCTCCATCTCCTGCCAGTACAGCTGCTCCACCATGCCAGCTGGCAGCGCTGCTGATGTGGCGAATCGTGTGGCCAGGAAGCGATCGGCCTTGCGCTCAAATTCGGGGAGAGAGTAGGTTCTGTTGGAACGAGGAGCGGTGATGGGCGGGCGAGTGGGGAGGATGAGGGCAAGAGAAGCAAGGGTGGGGAGGTAATGGGGGTGATGAGACGCGGACAGGAGGAACGCGAGAGAAGGGAGAGGATTGTGGCAGAGCGAGAGGTCAAGAGGGCGTGGGCTGGGCAGGGATATGGGAGGAAAAGGCAGGGTGGGCGACGCCAGGAGAAAGGGGTTGTACCTGACTTCATACCTGAAACAAGCTCTACTTATCACTCCGCCCCTTATGCTCTGGGATGCCACGTCACCCTGCGAGGGCAGCGAGAAATGGATCACCATGGGGGGCTCACCATGGGGGGATCACCATGGGGGGATCACCATGGGGGGATCACCATGGGGGGCTCACCATGGGGGGCTCACCATGAGGGGCTCACCTGCCGCTCATGCGGAAGGCGGGGGGGTCGCCATGCGCACACGTCGCCACGCGCACGGGCTGCTCGCGCGTGGTGAAGCGGAAGGGGCGCTTCTGCCCGCGCTGCAGCACGTGCCCCGCGGGCACCGTGGGCAGCACGGGCGGCACGATCTTGCAGATGCCTGCACGGGGGGTGGTGGGGGACAAGAGGGGCGCGGGGCGACAAGGGGAGGGAGAGGCGCGCCATTAGTCTTTACGGGTGGAACGGTGACCTGCGTCTTGCCCGCTGAATTGCCTGCCACGCGTGCGCGCGGAGGCATTCTCCCGCATGCGCGCAGGGGGCGTGTGCGCGCTGCAGCGCAGCCTTGCTTGCCTGGACGCCCGTGCTGGTGGGCGGAACGGGAAGGGGGAAGTGACGGTGGCGAACGCGTGCGCGTTAGTGGCGCGTGCGAAACGAGGGTGGCTGTGGGTATGGGCTGGGGTGTTGGATGGATGAGGGGAGAGGGATGAAGCGGGGGAGAGGGTCGACGGGCAGTGAGTACAATGCGAGGACGAGAGGCGGAGCGGAAAGGACGAAGGGAGGCAGAAAGGGCCCCTCAAGGTAACAGGTGGAGACGGTGCGACGGGGCGGAACTGGGAGACGCGCGGTGTGGAGCAGCGAGGCCGTCGCTGCGGCAGGTCGAAGCGCGTCGACGAGAGGGCGAGTTTCTCACGCGAGAAGCGAGGGGCGGAAAGGGGGAAGAGGAGGGCGTGGGCAGAGGGGGGGCTGAGTGAGCGGAGTTCGCGGGGAGCAGGGAGGGCGTCCTCGCATAGAGTGACGGAGCCACGACCATGCGACACAGGCCAGCGGACTCGGCGTGCCCTGACTGCCGTGACCTCGCGCCCACCAATCCGTCTCAAGGGCCCCGCGCCTCTGCCCCGCCAAATCGCCGCCTCTACCACCCCCGCGCCTTGCTCTCCCGCTCCGCCGCCGGCTCGCCGCTGAGAGCGGCGGCGCGAGATGAGCGCGATCATCAACGGCGCAGGGCGTCGAATCCCGCGGTTGGCGTCGTCGGCCCGCGGCAGTCACGGGCGGCGAACCACGCACGCATCGGGGTTGGGTCCATCCCAGTCCGATGTTTCGGCCCAGCGGTCACGACAGGCGCGGTGCGCATGCATGACCGGCTCGCCGGCCCGCTCTCGCGGTCGGGTGCGTCGCTATTGAATTCCCGTGACGCCGAATGGACGGAAGGCACTTTGAGGTCTCGTCGAACCCAACCCACCCTGCGCGATGACCCACCGGGCAGCACCCGTTAGTGGCAATTAAAGGGACCGACAGCGCCCACCCACCGTGCAGGGAGGCCACCCACCGTGCAGGGAGGCCACCCACCGTGCAGTGAGGCCACCCACCGTGCAGGGAGGCCTCGGGACGAATCTTCTCGATGTACGCGAGCGGATCGCGAAACTCGTCCTCCGTCGGGTAGTACACGGGGCACTCGGGGATTCGCCGAATCCAATCGTGGTCGCCCATCCCGTCGCAACGCCTCTAGCGAAAGCTAACGAGCAGTGTTTCGCACATGCGGCGGTCAGATGGTGATGGTTGTGCGCTCTATTGGCACGTGCTGAGGATTGTTCTACCCGCGTAGCGTGGTAATCGCGGCTCGTTCACGGTTCTCGCGGCCAATGACCTCGCCGTCCGCGAGCAGCGATGAAGCTCAAAAGACGTAGCTTAATCGCAGCGAGTGCTGGCGAGTAGCTAAGGGTGTGGCTTGAAAGTGTCGCTGTTGCTACGCTGAACGCTCCTCGGGCTCGAACGGAGTAGCGGATGACACTCAAAGCTGCAGCTTGTGCTTCTACATCGACCATGTCGCGCATCGTGTGCGTCGTCTCACCTCATCGTCTTGCTTTCCAAATCTACTGCGCTTGCTGCCAGGCCTGGCCTGGCGGCCGACGGGAGGGTGCAGTGGAGCAAGCTGGGTGGGAGGGAGACATCCCCAGCAAGCAGCCCCCACCACTCGATTGTCTCAACTCCGCGACACCACACGACCTCCTTCATGCTACTATCCATTCAATTCCGAAGCTGGAAAGCTGATGGCTCGGCCGCAGGTTAATTCCGAACCACTCGGTTAGGAAATTCTCTGGTTGTTGATTGCTCCTGCGCCGCGTTTGGTTCTCACCACGCCAGCGCGGTCTGTCGTGTTCTGGCTGGACGGTCCGAGTCAGCTCATTTGGTCCGATCAACCAGGCACCAATCTGGTCGAGAAATGATGCCGTGCCAACCAAAGGTAAGGCCGAACCTGTCTGACCTCACCTTCTGGGCAAATCGCCTTCCAGCAAAACTGCTGGCGAGAAAATTGCCAAACTCCACACCTTTGTGACGAAGATTTGGGTTTGGTTTGGCCCGGCCATTGGCTGGTCTGGGCAACCTGGGGGGCTCGACCTGGCTCGAAGCTTCAGCTGGGCCAAACAAAATCTCGGTCACATCGCATCTAACCGCATTCGTCCATTCATCATCACGTGTTCTCTGACGACCTTCGCGACGAGGAAATTGCACCAGTCCGACAACACAACCTCTGTGCGATGGAACAGTACAGTGTAATGGTTGTCCAAGCTCTTGTTACGCTCGTCAGCGGGAGTCACGGGACTTCGCTTTTGTCGGCTACGGGCTGGCCTGATTAACTTTGGGGGAATCGAAGAAAGTCAACGAGGGCCAGCCAGCACATTACACCTGAGTTCTTGTTATTACACGCCCTTCACGTTACAGAAACAATCGACGAAGAATCTCACACAATTACTGACACTGAACTTCCGGTTCCAGTGGTTATTCCATTAATGCTACACCCGTTTCTCCAACGCTGATATTAAAGTGGTTCATATTATTAGGTTCTAAGAAGCATAAGGGTATGTTAAAAATACAGTTTTGCGATTTTCATATTAGGAGTTGACTGAAACCAACATTATGTTCATACAGCGAACATTGGTTAGTCGTTGCAGCTTCTGAAAGTTCCCGAGTTTACATGTTAAATTACTGTCACTTTTGACAATCGTTGTTATATAAAGCAGCGCATTCTTGCCATTACCTTAAAACTATGTTATGAACAAAACTTTGATCGTGCCTAGGATCACCTCAGAAGGTTCGCATCGAGTGTGTTTCAGCGCAAGAAATAACATCAGCCATAATGAATATAAAATGGCTGACATCATTAAAACAAACGCATACATAGGTTTATATAATAGAACAAGAGAAAATGAATCGACCTAATTGCTATGTACTCTAACGATCCATATGCTGCCAACCGTACTCTTTGCATTATTCTGACATTTCGCCTTCGTACTCTTCATTTAATTCTTCATTTGCTACTGATAGGAGTGCACAATACTTCTCAATTTACTATTCGTAACACCCGCTTCACTCTTGATCTTAGCAAGTCTTGACCCACTTGACTACTCCGCTGAGTTCAGATCAGTGCTGGTACTACTGACGGAGCAGTCGTTTCGTGAGGAAGTCGGCTGCCATGTCATACGTTGGGCAATAGGTTTGGTCAACCTCGTCCTTGTCAACTTCGTCCTTGACGAAGAAATACCGCAACACGATGTGTTCGGTGCGGTTGACGAATCCTGGTTTGTTTGCGATCTTAATTGCGTTATGATTGTTGCAGTGCAGATGAAAGGTTGGTGAAGTTGGAAAATTTGCCTCCTGCAGGAGCTCTTGTAGATAAAGTCATTCGTGAACTGCTGATGTCGCGGCGATGAATTCAGCTTTTGCCGATGTCATGACAACACGTTTCTGCTTCTGCGAGTTCAAGTGCGCTGTTGGCTCGAGGCGGAACAGCAACCCGGTTTTGGACCGTCGATTGTCGGGGCCTATAGCATGGCCGGCGTCCATGTAGCCAATAAGGTTGAAGGACAGGGTCGTGTTAGTGGAGTAGCAGAGCCCAATGTTAGGCGTGGAGATGAAGAATTGCAGGGCGCGCTGAAGATCTAATAGTTTTCCAGCCGTTGGTTTGCGAGAGTACTGAGTTAGCTGGCTCGCGATGTACGAAAGGTCTGGCCTAGAGCTCACTTACGCAAAGAGGAGGCATCCCAACTGCTGCTGGTAAGTCTGAAGGCCTGCGGGGGATTTGGCATTGTTGTCAGGTCCGGGTGTGCGTTAAGGAGTGGAGAGTGGTGTAGGGGAGATATTGAACCGCTTCTCAAGTGTTTCAGCATACTTGGCAGCTGAGAGATGAATGACTTATAGCGCGTAGGTGATATTAAGGCCCATGAAATGCTTCACACCGTGATAAGTGGTGACGTCGACGCACATCGCCAAGTTCTTCTCGAACTAGTCAAGTAGTGTGTTGCTCGTTCCTGTGTAGAGCAGGTCATCGACATGCACGATGAGCAGGATGTAATCACCGAAAAAATGCAGGATGCCTGGGTCGTGCGGCAGCTGCGTGTAGGATTTTGAGCAGGTGCTGCTGCCAGAGCCGTAGTGCTTGCTTGATCCCGTAAATGGACTTTTTTAGCTGACAGATGCGTGGGTCCCCTTCAAATAAGTATGCGGCTGCTCCACAAAAATCATTGCGTCTACTAACACATAGAGGAACGCATTCTTCACATCATTCTGACGGAGAGGTAAGTGCCTTGCTGCAGTGATGGCAAGCAGAATTTTGACAGAGGTATGACGGCCGACCGGTGCGAAGGTCTGATAGAAATCGATGCCGTGCTTCTGATCCTAACCGCGTATGACCCATCTTGCTTTAAAACGCTCGATCGTCCCATCTGTTGCGGTCTTCACGTGGAAGGCCCACTTCCCTGAGAGCACTCTCCTTCCTTTTATAGCTGCGCAGTCGACGAGCACCCAGGTATCACGTGACTCGAGGGCCTTTATGCGCGCATGGCTTCGCGCAGTTCCTTGTTGTGTGGACCCATCGGCGCCTGTCGTGGATTCTTGGGTTCGATAACGTGCGGAGCTGTGGAGATGGCGGTGTGCAAGCCCAGCAGTTGCAGCCATGAGACGGTGCTGTCTCCAAGATGGCGACAAAGGCTTCAACTTCAGGGGTAGCGTAGACCCAGTTTCCGCGTAGACTGCCCCTGAAAATGCACGTGTACACGGACGGGCCGTCACCTGGCCACGTTCACCCATCGGCCTGGGTCGATTCTGTACACACTTACTATTGAGCCTCCTCAAGTAGCTGCGTCTGCGTCCGCGTCAGGTCAGCTAGCAGCCCCCTGTTTATGTCGCCTTCTGTCGCACCAGACTCTCCTTTGGCACCACCGCCAAGGTCACCCCTCCCTGCCACGCCTCCATGGCATGCACTCCCGCCTCCTTGTCACTTGTCTTCCCAGGTCTCTGCCACCCCTCCCACCCTTGCCTGCCCCTCCCTGCCTTCCCTGTGTCGAGGGGCGGCAGCGCGCCGCTCCTCACTCCACCTCGTTTCCCCCGACGACTGCTCCCCTGCAGACTCTCCACATGGACGTGTGGGGCCCAGCCCGCATTCGTGGCCAGGGCCGTGAGTGATCCTTTCTGCTGGTTGTTGACGACTACTCGCGTTACAACACGGTCTCCCCCTTGCTCAGCAAGAGGGAGGTCCCTGATGTATTGATCCCTTCGATCCGCGCTGTCTGTCTCCAGCTCCGCGAGCAGTTCCACACAGACCTTTCGGTCCTGCATCTGCACTCTGACAGAGATGGTGAGTTTGCCTCCGACCTCTTGCGGGACCTTTGTCGTGGGGAGGGCATCCGCCAGTCATTCACGCTTCCGGCCTCTCTGCAGCAGAATGGGGTTGCTGAGCGCCGCATTGGCTTAGTCATGGAGGTTGCTCGTACCTCCATGATCCATGCGGCTACTCCCCATTTTCTATGGCCGTTTGCGGTTCGGTACGCTGCGCATCAGCTCAACCTCTGGCCCCGTGTCTCCTTGCCGGAGACCTCGCCTACATTGCGTTGGACAGGGGAGGTTGGCGATGCATCGGTGTTCCGGGTCTGGGGCTCTCGTGCCTTTGTCCGCGATACTTCCGCGGACAAGCTCTCCTCCGACGCCATTCCTTGCG